AAAGGACCTTTCCTGTCCGATGGCGACGCTGTCCGCGTCGAATCCACGTCGAATCCGTGTCGAATCCGCGTCGAATCCACGTCGAATGCGCGTCCAATCCACACCGAATCTACGTCGGACCCGCGTCGAAACCACGTCGAATACGCGAACATACTGCCACTTATGGGACAGGCAGTGTCGCCCGAATATGCAGTTTCAGGTGTATGTTCCTCCTCTGAGCCTTGATGTACGCCTTCTGTATCGGTTGAGACGCAACTCATGAAATCTTCGTCAGAACGACTAAAGGCTACTAACCCTAATTTAGGAGCCATTGACCTGGACAAGGCTGGATTGAGCCCACGATGTAGCTGGATCGCGCAGAATTCAGCCAAGTTGAGCGGCATTAACCGAGATTTGGCCAACGAACGGCCACGGACCTACCAGCGCCGATGCTGAATGTCACCTCCCCAGTATCTGGTCAAAGACCAAAAGCACAAACCTAAACTGTTCAAGGTCCGCGCGGTACGCCCTTCCTGGCGCGCGGAACGCGCCAGATGCGCCGCCATTGGGGCCCAGCGCTGATACAAGAAACTCCCGCGGAGCTCCGAAAGCTTGTATTTAGGTCGGGTATGTCCTTCTGCATACGGATTTGGAAGACAAATGAAACATGGTAAACAAATGCCCCAACGTAGTCGAACATAGTCCAAAAATCGTCCTCATACTATTGTTCCTCACGTCCTAGATGGGGGCATTCGTTTACCTGCATGCGTCCGCGCAGGAACTCCTGCCTTCCCCCCTCTGTTCCACCTCACCACCATCACCATGACAATTGCTATCACACTCATCGTCTTACTACGTCCATCATCATCACCATCAGCACGCACACACAATCAACATCACCGGCACACCCTCCCACACACACACACACAAACAATCACTCATCATCCGCATCGTCAGCACCATCAGATTCGCACACCTCCTCATCAGCGTCAGTATCACCACCGTCATCATCATTCATTCACATTCCCTGGCACACTCAGCGCCATTACCACCATCACAAACACCGTCATCGCACACACACACACACACCATCATCACCCACATCATAGTCGTCACCAACATCATCACTCAACATCATCACCATTGACATTCCACTCACCAACGCTAGTCATCAGCATTACTACCATCACAAACTCGTGACTGTCACGGTCCCGTCGTATGTCACACCATCACCATTACTACCATCACACACTCATCATTGCCACTACCACCATCACTGCCATTTGCCAATTTTGGGTTCCTATGAACTGATTATGGAGGAAGTCTCAAGCGGGACCCTCATTTGTAAGTGGGTTCCGAAGAAACTTCAAACAAAACAACCCTCCCGATATGGGGTCCGCACTTCACGGCGGCAGTCCAAGCAGGACATCGGACGTCTATAACAATCCTATGTGTTCGGCTCCTTTGGTCTGCGTGTGGAATACGTCTCACGCGGAACCTCCGTCAGTGAACAAATTGCAAAAATGTTTTTATGGGTCCGCACTTCAACTTGGCAATCCGAGCGGGTCATTGGGAAATCTGTAACTGCCGTCACTGTTCGGCTCCTCTGGGCTGAATACGAAAGAAATTTTACGCGGGACTTTCGTCGGTGAGTTGGCGGTGAGGAAGTCTCAAGCCGGACCCCCCCCCCACATGGGACCCGCACTCCACGTTGGCAACAAGACCGGTCATTGGCAAACTCTACCACGAATGGGACTTGAGCGCCCCGCAGCGGCACATCACGAGCCTTTGAACATCCCAAGAAAGGAACATCACGAATAGGTTGGGGTTCGCGCGGGAACAACGGGCCACCGTCGTGTCTCTCGAACTTCACCCAAAGGACGAGCAGGACTACGAGGAGCGCGCGCCGGGCCAGGTCGGATTCAGATCCACGGATTTAAGGAATCCCTGATCTAGAAAAAGTCGCCGAATTGTTGCTGCAGAACGCCGCAAGCGCTGACGACGACGGCGAGGCTGAGGCGCAGGCGAGGAGCATGCTCATGTTCAGGCCCAGCGAGTAGAACTCACGTGGCAGACAGAGCTCGGGGCCGCACGTCGTGCGCCGCTCGGGGTTCATCCTGACGCACGCGTCCTACTTGAGCTCGACGCGGTCGCAAGGTCAGACGCTGCGCAAGGGCGTCACCATCGACCACGCCAGGGATGAGGACGCTGGTCGCACGGGCACGTCGGACAAGCCATGGTGGCTGCACCTCTACGTCATGTTCTCCCGCGCCACGCGCATGCGGAACATGCTGATCCTGCGGCCGCCCACGCGAGAGTTCCTGGAGTGCGGGCCGCCGGCGCCCCAGCGGAAGGCCCTCGAGGAGTCCGACACGAGAGCGATCGACTCCAGGGCTGAGGCGGAGCAGCTTGCCGCAAAGCTGAATTTCGCGTCGCTTCCCGCCTGAGCGCGGCCGCGACTGACTCGGTGCCTGCTTTGTCCCAGCGGCCTGCTTTTGGCGCTCGCGGGGTTGGCCCAACGGCCGTTGCCCCGACGGCTTCGCGATCTGCCATCGGAAAATGCGCCCCTGCCGGGCGCGGCGGCGATGGCGCCGAGGAACATCGGCATGCGCCCCCTTACCAGGAAGGAAAGGTGCACGAGGAGAACAGGCGGGATGGAGACGAGAGAGGGGTGCGGAGAAGGATGAGGAGGTGGAGGAGGAGGGGGAAAAGGAGGAAAAGGGCGAGAAGGAGGAGAAACAATTCAACAAGGAGAAAGAGCAGGAGGAAGAGGCAGAGAACGAGGAAGACAAGGAAGATGAGAAGGAGACGCAACAGAGGGCGAGACGGGGTGCTCTGGACAGGGCGAAGAGGAAAGAGCGAAAGGCAATCATCATGTGGGGTCCGACCGTCAGAGTAATTTTACTATGTTTGAATATTCCCCCTGTAGAGGGATATGCTCGACTGAAGTTTATGTGTTTCAAACTTCGCCGATCCCAAAGTATCGGCATCCTTTCCTCCTCTCGGGCGGGTGGTAAGGGGATGTGACCTAAATCGGAGGGTGAAGAAACCAACCCCGAATGGGCCCTTGAAGGCCCCTTTTGGGCCCCTCCTGGCCCCAAAGGGGGGCCTTCAAGGGCCCGATTGAAGCCATTGTTTCCTCCTCCTCCTCCTCCTCCTCCTCCTCCTCCTCCTCCTCCTCCTCCTCCTCCTCCTCCTCCTCCTCCTCCTCCTCCTCCTCCTCCTCCTTCTCCCCATTCAAGTCACCCCCTGTTACCACCCGCCCGATCCTCCGAGCCTTGATGTACGCCTCCGTGAAGTCCTCGTCCAACACGCCGAGCGCGCCGACGCTGCCCTCCGGGGGCTCGGCGCAACAACGCTCGGGCGTGTACGTGCTGTCCCAGCAGCCGGCCTTCGGGCTCGCGAGGCAGCAGTCCTCGAGGCGTGGATCCCCAAGGGTTTGGCGAGGCTTCGCCGATCGCCTCGTGGAGACAACTCAGATACGTAACAACTACCCCCGCAATTGCGGATGAGAGAAAGGGGGCGGCGGGGACGTCGGCAGTCTGTGGGGCTCTGAAGAAGCCCGCCGCAGGCGCCCAATTTTTACGAATCATTTAACGAGCTCGCCGCAGGGACTGTTTCACTCTTCAAAGCAATGTGGGTGGGTCGCGGGCTGGGTCGCGGGTGGGTCGCGGGTGGGTCGCGGGTGGGTCGCGGGTGAGTCGCGGGCTGGGTCGGGGGTGGGTCACGGGTGGGTCACGGGTGGGTCGCGGGTGGGTCGCGGGTGGGTCGCGGATGGGTCGCGGATGGGTCGCGGGCGGGACGAGGGGTGGGTCGCAGGCGGGTCGCGGGCCAGGTCGCGGGCCAGGTCGCGTGTGGGTCGCGTGTGGGTCGCGGGGTGGACGACAACAAACAACCAACAAGCCACAACAGCAAGCCACAACAACAACAACAACAACAACAACAATTACTAGCACGTGGGGACACGCCGTTCTCACCAGTGCCAGGGTTTTCATAGGAGGCGGGCAATACCCCCACTTTGTGGGGGGGCCGGTTCAAGCTCTACCAAATTTCCAAACGACTCTTCGCCACCACCCACACCCAGCTTCCCGCCCTATGACGTTCGGACACTTCACTTCGTGGCATGCGGACGACCGTGGCTACTATTCAGGGCCCCGCGGCCGACGACGACGGCGTGCGCGCGCGAAGAAAAAACGAATGTGTCCCGCATGGTATTATTTGACAGGGATGATGGCCCTGGCAGGTGCGCAACCGTTGTCGCAGAAGTTCGAAAAAGTTGCTCGCAAAAGCCCGTTTGACAGAAATGTTTAAAAAGTGTTGGGTTTCCTACGAATCCGCAAGAGCGCGCGGGATGAGATTTTGACAATTTTTTGTTGAAAAACCATTGGTTTTTTGATGTTTTTATGTTAAAATCGCTGCGAACACTAAGGTTTTGGAAGGATTTCGTCTTGCGCGCGCGAATGTCCACTTTACCTTATTTTTTGCAAGGGATTCTTGAAATTTGATTATATTAGAACAAGAAATGTCATTTTCTATTGTTTTTTGCAAGGGAAAGCGGATTACAACAAAACAACCGGATCCTGTACACACCCTCTTTTCTGAGGCTTCCTCACGAAAATGATGAAAATGTAGCTGCGGCCTAGGCGGCGCAGGGGGGGCGCGCACCAGGGGGCCCAACAATAATTATTCTTTAGAATAAATAATGTTCAACAACAACAACAACAACCAAAAACAACACCAACAACTCACAACAGCTCACAACAACAACAGCAACAACAACGACAACGACAACAACACCAACAACAACAAGCAGAACCGCAAAGCCTCACATTTGATTTGCCACGCGCCCAGGGTCAGTGAATGGCCGTTCGGCGACCTCATTCTGAGATCAGGGCAAGAGCAGATATTTCGTACGCTTGTTTTTGAGGAAGCGCAATTACCTTACCCAAAATGTTGACGGATTAGCGGCAAATGGCGGCCGGCAACCGACTGGCGACAAATAGCGGCACACGCCCCGCACCATCCGCCCAAAAGTCGTTCCCTTTTTCGCAGCCGGTGGCGGCTAGAACGCGGAGATCCGAGGTTTCTGCGAAAGTCAAGGCTTCAGCAAAACCGAACATGATAAATCGACGAAATCCCATGTGAAGCAGGGTGAAGCCAAGTATTGCCATCGCGCGACCCGAAGGCAAGCGCTCTCCTGGCCGCGACCAGCCGCGCTCACGAACAAGCTCCGCGACCTAACACCTAGGGGACGGCCCGAAACACAGCCCCTCCCGAGCCAAACGTGGCCCTTGCTCTTGGGACGGTGCTTGCAATGCGGGGGTCCTGGCGGATCTTGAAAGATCTGGCGAAACAGGGCGGCCGACTTCGGAGAGCGGCCGGGTTCCCGGTTCTGGGCTCCCGGGCTCCTGGTTGCTGGTTCTGGGCCGACGTCGGTGGGCGGCGGGGTTCCCGGGTTTCCGGGTTCCTGGTCGACCTCCTTATCGATTGGTCTCACCACCGAGCTCATTACCCCACGATCGATCTCACAACCGATGTCACAATCGATCCAACTATAGATCTCACAATCGATCTAAGTATAGAGTGGACGGGCGATCTGACAATCGATCGCACTATCGATCTCACTGAATCGACTTCACTATCGGTCTCAAGATCGATCCTACGATCGTCATGGTTAGTTATCGATTATACGATCAATCTCGCTAACGATCTCACCATCGATCTCAATATCAGAGAGAGCGTGATCCACCGCCGCTTTACTGTGGAAAATTGCCAACCTTTTCCTCCGGAGCCCGGGGGTCGCCCCCCCCCCCCCTCCGAAAATCCCCCCCCCCCCCCCTGCTGGAACCCCTCCCCCCCCCCCCCCCTCCCCCGCAAAACCCCCCCCTCCCCTAACCCCTCCCCCCCCCCCCCCCCTCCGCTCGAAAACCGGGGGGGGTCACTACCGGTTCGAACCCCTCCCCCCCCCCCCCCCCCCCCCCCCCCCCCCCCCCCTCCGGATCCGGAAAACCGGGGGGGGTCACTACCGGTTCGAACCCCCCCCCCCCACTCTCACCGCCAGCAAACGACTCCCGGTCCCCACCACCGTCCGCATCACATCCCCCACTGGTGTTCCCAGCACCACTGTCCTCACCACCGCTGTCCCCACTGGTTCCACCACCGCCCCTACTGTCCCCACCAGTGGCCCCACCACTGTCGCACTGTCCCCGCTGTCCCCAGAACTGTTCCCACCACGGTTCCACTCTCCCCACTGTCTCCACGGCCCCAACCACTGCCCGACTATCCCCACTGTCCCCACTGTCCCACTGACTCCTCCGCTGTCCCACTGAGCTGTCCCACTGTTCCCACCACTGTCCCCACTGTCCCCACCACTGTCCCCACTGTACCTCTGTCCCATTGTCCCACCGCCGTCCTCGCCACCGCCTTCACCACTGTCCCCACCACCATTGTACCCTCCACTGTCCCACTGTTTCCACCTCGTTCCCATTGTCCCCACACCACTGTCCCCACCACCACCGTCACCACCACTGTCCACTGTCCCCCCCTGTTCCCACCATTGTCCCCACCACTGTCCCCACCACTACCGTCCCCACCACTGTCCCACTGTCCCACTGTCCCCACCACTGTCCCGCTATCCCCTCACCACTGTCCCCACCAACACCGTCCCCACCACTGTCCGCACCCCCACTCGGTTTTCGAGGGGGGATGGGGTTCGAACCGGTAGTGACCCCCCTCGGTTTTCCGGATCCGGAGGGGGGGGGGGGGGGGGGAGGGGTTTCGAACCGGTAGTGACCCCCCCCCTTTTTGATGAGCAGGGGGGGGGGGGGGGGGGGGTTCGAACCGGTAGTGACCCCCCCGGTTTTCAGGAGGGGGGGGGGGGGGGGGGAGGGGTTCGAACCGGTAGTGACCCCCCCCGGTTTTCCGCCAGCAGCGGTAGAACACGCTCTTTCCAATATCAATGTCAACACTTATTAAACTATACACTGATTGGGTTTTTGGTTCCGCAGATTTAGTTCCAACGTCTTCGCTGCCGAAGATCTCCGGGGGAATCTGGGGCAACCCGTGATGGGGGCAGAATAGTCGACAAAGTGGGCGGAACGCAGCGGGAGCAGGAGGATCAATACGGCGGTCATGCTGGCGGAACGCGTCCCCGACTTTGTTCACTGTCGAATCGGGGATCTGCGATGGGAGGGGCGTCAATTCTCGACAGTCTCGACAGGAAAGCGTCGGGGAAATTCGCCTCAGCCGATATTTATATATATATATATATATATATGTGTAGATGTATGTATGTGTATATATATACATGTATGTATACATATATATATATATATATACATGTATATATATACATACATAAAGATGCACATGTACTATATATATATATATATCGTGGGTGTGACACTCTTGCTCCTGCATGTTTGCACGCTGGGTGGGTGGGCGAATCCGACCCCCTCAGCGGGGCTGCGGTCTTCTGGGCCTCCTCGACCGGGCCTGGCCAACCTCTAGCCGGGGTCGGGCTTGGCCTCGACCGTACCCAGCTGGGCCGACCCTCCGCGACCGAGGGCCTGGCCATCGGGCCCCAAGCGGCCAGGAGGACGGCCAAGCGGCCCCGCGAGAGCCCCGAGCGGCCGAAGACGCCCGAAGGCGGCCCAAAGAGCACCCCCAAAAAGGCCGCCAAGCTTACATGCGCGGAGGAACCCTGTGGCAAAGGGGGGGAACGACGACGAGGGGACGACGCGACAGAGAGAGCGGACAAGGGGGAGGGAAAGGAACGGAGGGCGAAGCCGCCAGCCCGCAGGGCGTCCGCTCAATCAAACAAACAAATGATGGTTCAACTGTTTCTTGTATGATGAAGAAATCGATTATCCGGTCCAGGCGTCAGAGACCGCCACAAAAGGCACCGAATGTCGTCCCAAAACAATTCCAAAGGGCCTGCAGATGGTCCAAGAAAGCCCCAAGACGGACAAACAAAACCCCAAGATGACCCGAAGAGACCCCAATGACGGCCCAAAATGCCCCGAAGACGCCCCCCGACGCATTCCCAATCGTGGCCCAGTCGTTGAGAGAGACCGTGGTCCGCAGCGAGGTTGCCCGAGGAAGCCACCAGAAGGCCTTAAAGGCGCCGAGAAAGCGTCCAGAGATCCACAAGCTACCCTTACGAACTACTTCCCGAGGCCCAGACGAGACCCCTCAACGAAAAACCATCGCAAGACAACTGAGGACGATGCGGACGGAGTTGCAGGGTAAGGCGTTAAGGAGGACTTGGAAAGATGAGGGAATGATGCGGTACACAATGATACAAGGACGGCGACGAAAATTGCAACCATAAGCTGTATTTGTTATGTCGTGTTTTGACATCCCTCGCATTTCGCCCGCAAACCGAAATTGAACGACCGAGGCGCATGGCTCGAAGGGTCAACGTTGTCTTGTATATATGTATGCGTGTACATATGTAATAGATGTATAAATGTACCCTAAAACTGTGTATATGTATACCCACCGGTTGGGAGAAGCAGGTCTGAACATGAAGTATGGAGGCTTTGAAAATAGATTGGGTGTCCGTCCGCCCCCTTGGGAGGACGGACAAAAAGGTGAAGCCCTCGATCAGTGAAGTAGGAAGGCGCTTACAATATATTAGAACCTGGGAGTCCCAAAATACCTACTCTCAACGACCGATGGGTGCACGTAGCCCCGAGTGTTGAATCTGTTTTTGAAAACGGCATTTTTTGTTGGGCGGCTTGGGGGATTGGGGATCCAGGCGCCAAACAAGCTTAGGAAGAGGGATGCGGCAGAGGTCGCGGAGGGTACTGGTTTCATCAGGAACTGCACGGCGACGGGGCGAGGATGGCGAAGGAGAGAAGAGGCGAGCGAATGAGATAGATGAGGCGAAGGCGGAGCGAGAGCAACAGAAGCAAAAAGGGGGCCATCGGGAGGGGAAGGATGGGGAGGACGGGCAGGTGGAAACACCGGCACCTCCTACACGCATGGAATGGGAAACGGACCCACGATCTGGACTGACTGCCAGACGATACTGCGGCTCGGCCAACGCCGAATGAGAATGCAAGGCCGCTGGCGTATAGGGTGCGGGAAATGTTTCCAGGTGGCCCCCCGCTGCCCGTGTCGTTTCATCATCGTGGTCAACGCCTCATGGACCGAAGCGCCCCAGATAACCTCACGTCGCACGAGAAGACAAAGCTACCATGGCGGGTGGTCCCGACGACTCCTTCCAAATTGAATGCGCCTGCGCGTCGACGGCGCAAAGCGTGCCGCGCGGCCATTTCTGTTCAACAGCTCCGCCTAGCGTCATGGAAATGCCCAGCACTAGATCCGTCGACCCCCCAATTTCTAAGATCCAGGGCCCACTGGTGACATCTCGAAAGCAGATGACGGACATCATCCTGCTGAGTGATCTCGTTATCCCTCCGCATGCGAGGGCTTTCGGACTGGAGGAGTATGTTCTCGTCGGGGCGGGCCGACGTGGATGTCCGATGGCCCCCCAACCTGCCAGGTTAGTTGTGATCCCAAGCCAAGCTCGCAAAGTTGACGACAGACCTTTCCAAATTCACGTGCAGTGCCACCAGCAAAGATATGACTTTCACGCGATGTACTGCCGCCAAGGAACTACCCCCTCGAGCGCCAATCCTTGTCCGAGTCCTCCAATCGCCGCAGGAGTTCTACCCGTATTTTTGGAGGCGGCTGGAACTCGCACGCGGGATCCGACCTCCAGCGCCCCGCGCGCGGCAAGTCCGAGCTCTCCCAAGCCACCTCCAAGCACGCTCAGCACCTTCTTGGTGCTGCTGCAGAAAACAACTTGCATCGCATTAATTCCAGACTTCCTTCCAAGCGACGCGCGACACGGTGTCGCCCTAATCTCACGCACGCTTACGAGCTCCACTGTTTTTTTACCAGCAAGACAGAGGTATACCCGACTCGCCTCCGCGGGCTCCGCACTGATGCCCTCCCAGGCGGTGACCATTTTGCCAAGAGTATGGTTCTTCATGTCCCAGCCCGTGCACATGGGCCCCACAAGCACCGTGGCGCGCAGACGTCACGATCGATTGCGACCACAGCGCCGAAGGCCACTAGTACGCATCGGGTGTCAGGCTTGACCCGAGAGCTCCGTCCACGAGGCAAGCTACGTTCAGACCTGCTTCGTGGCCCTGGAGATGCGGCGGCCGCCTTGCGGACCGAATGCGACCGAGCTTCAGCACTGCAGGCTCTCCAGGTTCCGAGCTCGCCCCCAACCTCCTGTCCATCCAGGGCTACGCTCTCAGCGTGTCTGCGCAACGCAGCAGGCGATGTCGTCGGCCGCCGATCCCGACGCGATGAGATGACTGCGCTTGCCCGCGACAGAGAAGCTGACGGGTGTCAGAAGAAGTCGATGCAGATTTCGCGGGGTGCAGCGCGTCGCTCCTCGAACCCTGAAGATCGGAAGATAGCCATGGGCCACCATCGTCTACTCAAGCGACGCGGTCGACGAGGCCGGCGACGATGGCAAGGCCAGCTGGCATCAGAAAGTGACAACGCATGCGAGAAGGCAACGCAAGATCATGGTCTCGGTCGCTTCTGTCGTCACCTTCGCGATCTCGGAGTTTGGCCCAATGACCAGGACGCACGTGAGTCCACACCGTTCACGGCACAAGCGGCACGCGGTCATGTTCGTCAGTCGGCAGGCCGCCCCAACGCCGTCCCACTCGAGCGCGCCCAGGGCGAACCCCAGGGGGGAGATCGACACTGTCTCGTGGAATCCCCCCACTCGAGACGAATATGAGAACGCAATCAGATGCGTGCGCGAGTCTGCGGGCGGCGACGACGAGATCACCGTCGGCCCCTGGAAGTCGGTTGCCCCCAAGTGCTCCGATCTACTCTGGGAGCTCATGCGACAGTTGAGGCAAATTGATCCCAGTGAATGGGATTGGGATCGTGATCGCAGCGCTGTTATTCTACTGTGGAAGCGGGAAGGTGCCAGGGGCGATATGAGGCGGCACCGTGATATATCGTTATTGGCCATGCCGCCTCGGGCCATCGCGTGGTCTTGCGCGCGCAGGCTCAGTCTGAGCAGGGGGTCAACAACTTCTGGAACCAGAACCACGCATGAGGCTTCAATGCTCACAGGCGGACAATTGGTGCTGCTGTCTTACTCCGTGCCGCTGTCGAATCGGCGGCCCACGATGCGTGGCTGTCTGAGGGCGAGTTGGGGGATGCAATCACATTTTCGCTGGCAAGGATTGCGAAAGCCTCCCCGAATGATCCCCAGTCTCTCGCCTGGGCGGTTCCAGGGAAGCTCGGAGAACCCCCGCGCGTGCTTGCGCGGCTGGACCGCCCCCGCAGTGGCGCCGAGTACGTCATTCGCCTTCCCGCCGGAGGCTCCCGTCCATATCAGCTTCGCCGAGGTCTCCGTGATGGGTGCCCCTCATCCTGCGCGGCGTTCAACCGCCTGCGCAATCTCGTACTTCAACGTCTCGGCGAAGATGGGGTTCGGTTTTTCGCGCTGCCAACCTCCCCGTCGGCCCCTCCTGCGCGACAACTCACCGAGAAAACAGCGGGCAACGCCTGCCTCTCCACCCTCTTGCGCGTCGTGGGGTTCGCTGCTGGCACCACTAGAGCGAGCGCATGTTCTGGAGTTGCAGAGTTAACGATGCATGCCCCGGAGGAACTAGGACAGCAAGCGCATCCCCACAACTTTGATGGGCTCGTGGTTGCATATGCCCGTCCTTTTTAGTGGGCCAGATCACAGCGTTTCTTGGGCTGCCACATCGACTTCAACGGCGGCTGCGAGGGCGGCGCTACCAAGTGGTTGCAGGCAACAGGCAAACTATGGTCCAAGTTGAAAGGGCGTCTTCCCGCTTGGGTCTCACCTCGAGGCAGAAAGGCAGCGTGGACGAAACAGTTGTACTCGCAGCGTGGTTGCATGGATGCGGAATCAGACATCTGCCCAAAGAAGATCTACATCGCTCTCGATTATCTATGAACACGTGTATTCGTGACGTGTTTCGCGCCAAGATTAGGACTGGAGTTCTACGATGGATGAACGGACGAGCTACAGAAAAAGATCTCGGATATGAAGTTGGACTGGACGACGTTGTATACAGTACTGCATTACCCGTCGACAGCGCAGTTTCCTGGGACATCTGGCGCCGCTACCAGATGCTCGACTTGAACGGGCTGTACTGCACTTCGTGCTCGACCCCTGCAAACGCCCTCGCCCTACGCCTCAAGCGCGTCTGCTCAGGAAAAGGTCAGCCCTCCACAGCTTGGCTTCAGGAGTGGCAGCGTTTCGCTGGACAAGGTTTTTCTCCCTCCTCAACGTGGCCACCGGTGGCCAAACGCACAACCGCAGTTTCTTCGTGATCTCCGATCACGCCTAGATGCAGACACGTGGGTACATCGACATCATGAACCCCGCCAGGATTTTCGCGATCAAGTCCAGACGGCGTCTTAGATCCGTACCATCACGGGCCATACGGCATGCCCGATCTGCGCGAGCCAGGTGTACAACCTCGCTCTCCATCTTCGGCGCTGCAAAGGGGTGACCAAGCCACCGACGCAGAAATTCACTTGCCCTGGGTGTGGACTGCAGCGAATGACGCTGTCGAGCCACAGACGGTTTTGCAAAGGCCGCCCGGGACGAAAGCATGCGGATTCGCGTGCATGGCAGCGGCTGGTCCAGCCACGCCTGCTCGTCCGAGGCAAGCGACCTCAAGCACAAGTCTTAACGGTGCCAGTGAAACGTATCAGTCTTCCTGCAGGTCCTGCTGCCGTTGCCGAGCCTCTCCCCACCCTTCCTCCAGCCAGACCAGTACGACTACGAGCCAAAGCAGCTGAATCCCGAGCGCTCGAGCCTGAGCAGCCTCAGACTCATCGTCGTCGTCGCTTCCGGGGTAAACGAGCAGGGGGGAGGGGTTCAGGAGAGCCCGAAAAGATCATTGACCAGGCGTCGTCCATGACCTTGAAACACGAACCTCACTCGCCCGATCAAGCGCATCAGAAAGCCCAAACCTGAGAAACTTTCTCGTAATGATCGTACACTCAATAGTACTGCTACTACAAAGGAGTGCTCGGAAGCTGACCTGCCCATACTGCCTGAAACAAATACCTTATGCTACGCACAAATACAAGTGTACATCGACCCCGTATGAAGTATGGCTTATATTCAATATGAACCGAACAAACAAGAAAGCGACGGAGGAGGAGGGGAGACCTTGGAATGTCCAGTGCCCCCAATGTCTCGACACATTCCCATCGGTTCGTGCATGTGCCGCTCACGTGATTGTCTGTCGCCATCGCAGGGTCCAAGCCGGCCTCGCAGTGCGGGGTTTAATTTCAGTATCCAACGGATTGTTGTCGCCAACCTTGTCTCCTTTTCACCTGCTCATCTTCATGCCCTCCACGCTTGAGGCGGCCCAGGCGTATGTTGCTTCGGGTTCCTCCCGCGGTGGCGAGCGCAGGGGACGTGCACCGTCCACCTCCACGGGAGGCCTCGAGAATCGGGTTCGCAACATTGAGCGGGCTGTTGTTTCTCATGAGCGGGATCTTCAAGAGCTGCAAGATCGGATATCGTCTGCAATCTTTTGCAAGGATGGGCCCGCAAAGAAAGAGGTCTCTCAGCTACGGGACGCCTGGAGGCCCAAGGATCGAGATCGGAAGGAGAAACACAGAGAACTGCTCAAGACGGACAAAAACGCCAGCATGGATGACCATGAGTTTGGATCCCAGCGTAGTCTCCTTTTCAAGAAGTTCGTCCGCATCTTCATCAGTAAAGTACCTCAGGAATCCCCTCAAGCCAGTATCCTCGGTAAGCTTGACGGCCTCACACCAGAGCAGTTGGACGATCAGAGCTTCCGTTGCAAACCATCCAAGCATCCCGATCATCGTGAGGGACGCTCTTGGGTTTGGAAGCTCATGCCATCCAATGTTGTGGAGGTCGAGTTCCTCAGAGGCCTCAACGATCTCAGCAAGATCGGGACGGAGTCCCTGGGTATTGCTCACCAGAACAGTAATGATGGTCCTCTCGTGCAGGGGATGACTGGCAAAGGCAAGGGCAAGGGCAAGGGTAAAGACGCAGACAAGCAGGAAGCTGGCGGGAACGGTGACGACGACATGGTCGACGACACAGAGGCGGCGGAGCGGAAGGCGAAGGCGAGCCAGCGCATCGGTGAGTGAGTTCGCCGTCTTCCCCATGCTGCTCGGGGTCGTCGTCGGGATGGCCCTCTCTTCCATGAATTCGATATTCAACTTTACCTGCGACGGCTCGGTCAAGCGCACATTCCTCTTCCTGGAAGCATGTTCCTCGTGTGCATTCTGGCCTTTGAGAGCTTCTCCGTTGGAGTCGCAAGCTATACAATAACCAAAGCTGTCAAGGCCGATCTTGAGCCTGGGGTCGGTGCTGGTGTGTGCACTGGCAGTCCAACTCATGGATGCGAGATGGTGGTGAAATCTTGTTGGACACGTATGTGGCTAAACGTGACTGCCCACGCAGACGTGAACCGAACACAGATGCAAAATATAAAACTGCAACCATCCTCCATCCTGAACTCGAATGTTGATCCTTACCGCACACCTTATCTTGCATGAGAGTCCAAACTGCATTAAACATGAATCAGAAACCTCCGAACATCTGCAGATCGCTCCGAAAAGCGTCCGCAGACATCGAGTGGCTTTCGGAAGCATCCAAATTTTCGGAAGCCTGCTGAAGCATCCGACGACCTAGGTTTTTTAGGTAGTCAGCACCCTCTGACGGCCCTACAGCTCTCGATTCCCCCCAGGACCGATTCTCCGCTGCGGGCGATTCTTGCGCGGGTCAAAGGGCCCGAAAATACACACACACACACAAGCTCACACACACACACACACACCGGACGCTGATACTGTTCAGAAGAAGCGCATCTTCCAGCGGAAGCATTCCTGGCATAGAAGATCAACAACCTGCACATACACTGTAACCTTCGGAAGTCCATACGGATTTCCTAGGTCAGCACTGGACCCCCTCCCACAGCGAGCAGAATGCGCCGGGGGCGG